AGCCGCATACACATCGACCTGTTGGCGACGGGACATCGAGCATGGGTTCATTTCGCTGTCGGGATACCATTCGGAGAAAAGGCGCGTCGGCCTTGTCGAGGACCTTGGCAGTTCGACATGGCCGCTATAGATGCACAAACAGTCGTACCAGATTCGCCATATATTAGGGCAAGCTTCACGGTTGGCTGCTGCGACCACGACAGGCTGCTGTGACCACGGTCATCTTTCGAAAGACGACATCAATCACGGCGCGTGCGACCCAAATCACGGAACTGGACTCTTCGTAGAGCCAGACATAGGACTGTTGCGATGTCGCTCAGCGGAAGACGACATTGTGGACCGCCACGTCATCTATGTTGCATGTGACTAGCTTTAGTCGTTTAGTTAGTCGAAACAAGATCTTTAGTAGTAGTAACGGACCGACCTTTCGGGGCCGGAAGAATGCAACCACTTTCCGATTTGCAAGCTTCCTCGCAAGAGGTTCTGAGCCCAACTACACGACGAAGACGCTCAAGGAAGGTCAAGGAAGCATGGTCAAGTTGCGCGAGGGGAACTACGCCGAGTGGACCATGTTCATGGTCGGCAAGCTCAACCAGAAGAAGCTGGGGGGGTACCTCAACCAACTGCAGTGGACCGAGGTGGTGGTGACGGATGCGGACGAACAGACGAAGGGTGGTTTCTACAAGAACGGAGCAGTCGATGCGTCGGGAGGCCTCCTCAAGATCATGATCAGCGTCACGAAGGAATACGACGCTGAAGAAGATGGTCAAGCCATGGGCTATTTGCTCGAGTACCTCGACATCTCGCAGTCGGTACTTTTCGACTGGAGTATGACCAGATCGGCGCACGTGCTCTGGAACATCCTCTGCCAACACCACCAGCCGCGACAACAAGTCGACATCGTCGAGCTCAACACTCAGCTTTACAGCATGAAGTGGCGTCCTGCTGCAGAGACGCTCGTCGCGTTTCGTTGTCGGGTCAACGCAATCTTCACGCACATGTTCAACGCTGGCATCAAGGTGTCCACGAAAGTGCAGAACCAGCGCGTCATTTGGCTCCTCTCGACGATGCCGGTGGAGATGCGCAGTGTCTCGCGTGACATCATGAACCTCACCGACGCTGAACGGACGATCGCGATGGCGTTCTCGATGCTGATCCAGGAGTACAACTACCTGCAGAAGCGAGGAATTCTCCTCGTCAAGTCCAGCAGCGGCGGATCGCAGGACAACATGCAGGTCAACGACAGTGCTCTCGCGGCAGGGGACAACCAGCAAGAGCAACGGGAACCAGCGCCGTGGTACGCGACCAAGACATGCTTCAACTGCGGCGAAGTTGGCCACATCCAGCGTCGTTGCCCAAAGAACCAGCACAGCGGCGGCAAGCGACACGGAAACCCGCACAAGAAGCAGCTCTGCAAGAAGGAGAAGGCTGCGATCGTCCAGGACAACGACGAGGATCTCGAAGAGAAGGTGCTGGTCACGGACGTGATCAAGAAAGCGTCGAAGAAGAAGGCCAAGAAGCTCGACTCGGTCGAGTTTACTTTTGCGTTGCGCGAAATGCGCGATGTGGCCGAGAAGTCGAAGAAGAAGTTCAAGGAGCAACAGCAGCGTGTGCTCGACGTCTTCAGCATTGATGGGGTTTGCACGGTCAAGCTCGACGTAGCCTGCAGCGCCATGACGGCGCAGAAATTGATCAAGGCGATCGACTCGGGCGCAACGAGCAGCATGACGGGCGATGCGAGCCTACTATTCGACATGGTGCCGTGCAACCGCACGGTTGAAGTGGCCAGCGGCCATACGCTCAAGGCCGTGGGCATTGGCAAGATGAAGATCGGGAGCCAGGTCACGCTCACCGACGTTCTTTTCGTGCCGGGTCTCATGATGACGCTCATCTCGATTGCCAAGATCTGTGTCAACCGGTCGGAGGTTGGAATCAACTTTCACGACCGCATGTGCTCGCTCACGTTCAAGGGCGAGACGCTGGTGTCGGCCGAGTATGATGAAGTCTCGGGACTTTATGTCTTCAAGGACGTGCCAGATGAGAAGGCGAACGCGACGGTCGAGTCGACAACAAAGCTTCAACACCAGCGCATGGGGCACATTCCCGTGGAGACGATGATCAAGTGCAGCAAGGAGCACGAAGGACTGCCGGAGCAACTCGACAGCAAGATGTCCAAGCTGTGCGACGGGTGCATCGAGGCCAAGATGCACAGACAACCGCACCCAAAGAAGAGCTCTCGATCATGGGAGCTGGGCGAGCTGTGGCACACGGACGTCAAGGGCGCATTCGCGACGGAAGCGATTGGTGGCTACAAGTACTTCGTGACGTTCATCGAGAACAACACGGGCTTTACCATCTTGAAGTTGCTCAAGACCAAGGATCAAGTCCTCAAAGCTTTCCAGAAGGTCAAGAGTTTTATCGAGACGAAGACAGGCAACAAGATGAAGCTGCTCAGATCCGATCTCGGAGGCGAGTACATCAACGACGAGTTTGACGAGTTTCTCGCCAAAGCCGGCATCAAGCGCGAGACGGCCAGTTCGGACTGTCCGTGGCAGAACGGCAAGGCTGAGCGCTACAACCGCACGATCATGGAGATGGCGCTCGCGATGATGTTCCACGCTGGAATGTCACGCCGATGGTGGGGTCAGGCGGTCAAGACGGCCGTTTACATACTCAACCGCATCGTGAATTCGGCGTCGGGCCTCAAGACGCCGATCGAGCTCATGTTCGGCGACAGCCACAAGCCGGACTACAAGAACTGGCGCGTCTGGGGGTGCATGGCGGTACGCCTCAAAGTGAAGCCGGGCAAGCGCAACAAACTCCAACCCAAGGGGTCCAAGGTCGTTTTCGTTGGCTACGCCAGCGACCAGGAGGGCTACGAGCTCTACGACATTGCGGCCAACAAGATTGTCATCACACCCGAGGTCCGTTTCTTTGAGGACCGCTTCATGAACGACGGCCACCCGGAGACGGAAGTCGACCTCGGCGACAGCGATGACGAAGATGGGGACGACGACGACCGTGACGGTCGTGGGGGTGATTTTGAAGGCCATTTCGAGCGGCTGTTGAACGTCAAGGACGAAATCGCGAAGAACGTTCTTGACAACATCCCGAATACGCATGCAGAAGCAATGGCCAGCCCCGACCGCGACAAGTGGCTCGAGGCGGAGCACACCGAGCTCAAGATGCTGCTCAAGAACAAGACGTGGCGCAAGATTCGTGCTGCGGGCGGCACCAAGGCCATTGGCTGTCGATGGGTCTATGCCAAGAAGTACGATGGCGACGGCAATGTGATCCGATACAAGGCGCGTCTCGTGGCCAAGGGTTTTACCCAACGTCATGGTGTCGACTACAACGAGACGTTTGCGCCGGTCGTCAAGTGGACAACTTTGCGCCTCATCATGGCGCTGTGTTTTCATTGGGGCTACTCGATCCACCAAGGTGACGCGGTCAATGCGTACCTTCAGAGCAAGCTGGATGGAGACGTCGACCTCATCATGGACATGCCGCCGGGCTACGAGGACGAGGACCCGCTTGTCAAGCTTTTGCTTCTCATGGCGATCTACGGCCTCAAGCAGAGCGCGTACCATTGGAACGGCATGTGCGATACGGTACTGCAGAAGATTGGTTTCCGTCGTAGCGAGTACGATCCGTGCCTCTACGTGCGCAAGCGCAACGGATGGCTCCAGTTTGTGTGCGTCTATGTCGACGATTTTATCATCTGCGCCAAGACGGACGCGGAGATCAACGACATTTTTGTGAGCCTCGAGAAGGAGATCGAACTCAAGCGCCAAGGACCGGTCGCACACATTTTGGGTGTCAAGGTCGTGCGCAACGAGACAGAGCTCACGCTCAAGCAGACGTCGTTCATCATCAAGATTCTCGAACGCTTCAAGATGCAAGATTGTGCCGGCGTCGATACGCCGGAAGTGCAAGGTCAAGATTGGGACGTCGAGTCGTCTCCGGCCAATGAAGCGACGTACCGTGCGATGGTTGGAAGCTTGGTGTACCTCATGACGTGCACGCGACCGGACATTGCACACACCGTGATGCGACTGTCGCGCTACCTCAACTCGCCCAAGCAGATCCACCTCCAGGCGGTCAAGCGCGTGTTCCGGTATCTCAAGGCGACAAAAGACGTGGGCATCACGTACAGCCAGAAGGCCTCGAGCGATCTACATGGCTACTGCGATGCCAGCTGGGCGCCACCACCCGATCGACTATCTATCTCGGGGCAAGTGTGGATCACTTGCGGCGGCCCGATCGCATGGAAGTCAACACGACAGGCGACTGTGGCGACCTCGACTTGCGCTGCCGAGTATGTGGCCATGGCGGCAGCAGCGCGCGAAGCCAAGTGGCTCATCGGCCTGCTTGGAGACTTGGGCGTCAGCGACCTGCCGGTGCTCTTGTACTCGGACAACCAAGGAGCGATCAAGATCGCAGAAAACGCGATGACGACGGCATCGCTATGTGACCTGCGATCACATAGCGATGGCGCAGGTCTGTTGGACAGCGCTTGAGGTTCAGACGAGAGCTCGACGACCATCCTATTGAGGATGGCGTCTAGAATTGCTCGATGCGATTCGACTGCAATATAATGAACTTGCCGCGACAATGCAAAATCTGCTGGAAACTCGAGGGACATGGGATGGCGAGGCAACCACAACCGCACTCGAATCCAAGTGCAGCAGGCACGTTTCGGCTGCCAGTCACTCTCTTGGTCGTGCACGCTTTTGCACTTGCATGGCTTGCCGGCTTCCGTCATGACAAGCCTAAACTATCCCAATAAGGAGACGGCGGCATTACCTCGCGAGACGACATATTGTCCACGTCATTGTCCGCTATATCGTCTTCGGTCGCGTCATCGCGGCCGTTGGCGCCGAAAGAAAACTCTCGTTGTGGGGACTGGAGTTAAATTAAGATTTGGCAGCTCCAAACGCCTCCAATTCATTTGTAATGCATGCATTGCGTAGCTCAAAGGACCAAACGACGCAGGAGCAATGCTGGCTCAGATTATGCCGATCTGGACCCGGGGTCACCGCGTGAACGACACGGAGACGCCGGACTGCAGCTTTGCCTCGGCGCCGCCCAGCGCAGCGTAGGCTCTCGGCTTCTTGCGCGCCCATGCAGATGTTTCGTATTTGGCGGCGGGGCGCGTTATCTGCAGTCTCAAGCATGACGTGGCGTTTGACCAAGTCGACTTCCAGGCCAAAGTCGACGTGGCTTTTTTCGCGCTCTCGATGCGTCGGGGTGCTACGACTGCGTCCTCGGAGGCTAGCCACATGTTCGCCGTCATTGCTCTGGACGGCGCCGACATCCCCGAGACGGCCCTCCAATGCGCGAAAGAGTTATCACATGCGGCCTATCGCGAGCCAAACCTGCGCCCGCCACGTCGGAAGCATACGATGCTCGCCTTTTGGCCAAAGTCCTACCGGCTGCGTCTCGTCGGCATCACAACATCAGTCGCCCACGTCGAAGCCGTCCGGCAAAATGACGCCGGAACATCGCTGCTCGGGTATCGCACTACGCGTCTCGCCGAGGCGTCCTCATGGTCGGGCCGCAAACAAACTCGGACCAAGTACCCCTGCGACGGCGAACGCGGCGAGAACGTGCTTGCTTGGTCGTACGTATCTGGCTCAAGTTGTAGGCTCAAGTTGTATGCGTGCATTGATCGGTTTGGCTACGACGCGCTCGCGCCGTCCGTGCATGTCCTTCTTCGACGCAGAGCCGCGACGTACCGCACTGCCGCTGCACATTTGCCATTTCAGCTTCTCGCGAGTCTTGCCGGCGTTGCCGAAAACCCGGTCTACCCGACGCTGGGACATCCCGAGGCGCATGACCGCACCCAGTGTGCGATCAACCGCATTATCTGCGAACACTAGGACGTGCCATCGCTCTTTTACGAACCCAAGACGATTAAGTCGCTCGACGTGCCTACGTGCTCGATCGTCACGAACGCGCGTAACACGATCAACGCGTGTTTGGTCTTGCATCAATCCTAAACGCGATACGAGACGACTACATCGCCATGACGTACATTGCTACGTCCGCCATCGGCTTTGCGCTGCGTAACACCCGCAGTTCGCTAGCAGCATGTACCCGGAGCTTGCGCTGGCATCGTTGGCGCGTCGCAGCAACGTCGTAGACTCGGTCGACGCAGTGAGTGGCATCTTCTTTTACAAGCAATCTATTCCAATGCTGACGACGACAAACTTCTCGCGTATGTTGGCAGCTTGCGCTCGGCGGTGGGGTTTCCCCACTACACGCTCATCGTAGCTCTCTGCACCTTTCTCACAACACGGTTGGTCGCGCGGCGCTCGCTTAGTAACTGTGCGATCATCCTTTGCCGCGTGTCCGACTGGAGGCAGCGCGGCAAAGTGATTGAGCACCTCTTGCCGCACTAGTATAGCCACACGGACGTCGCGCTGCTGTACCCGAATTCGACGCTTTTCCCCGTGTGCGAAGCGCTTCTCGCGGACGCGCCAAGCTTTTTCGCGACGTGTGCGCCGCATCGGGCGCCGACGCTCGTGCGCCAAGTCCGGTCTCTGGTCGAGACGGCTGCCCGCAGGTACCGTAAGGTCGCCGTGTCACCGGCAGCCGTGTTTGTACCGCTGCTCTCAGAGTTTGCGTGGCGGTGGCCGACGCTACCGTTTACGGCGCGCGGTCAACTCGTCGACATTGCTCGCCCAGACGTTCAAGCCACCGCGGCCAAGACACCAGGCGGCGTGCCGACGATCCACGGGCTCAATGCGGCGCAGTGTAGTTGCCACATGTGCGGCGCCCTGCAGGCGTTTCTTCGAACGCCGCATTGGTCGTCGGACAAGAACTTGTTTGCGACTTGCCAAAACGCAGCGCGAACGATCGCAGACCTCTGAGCGGTAGGCTTTGTCAACGATGACGACGACTTCGTTAGCAAGCAAAGACGCGCGAAGAGGGTGGTACGGGCGGCACGGACTAGAGATACAACGTGTTGTCTTCGTGGCAGCCGATTCTGCAAGCGCAACTCCACCTCGCGGCGCTCGATCGCCATTCGTTCATGTACCTTTCCCAAGCGCCAAAGATGCCAGCAAGCCTGCGCGTCCTGGAGACCTTATTGCGTTCCTGATTGCGTGCTTGGTCCAAGCTACCACCATCACTCTCCACTTCAAGAGTGATGGTATGGCTTCACGCCGGCCGAACGTTCGCTGAAGCTGCACGACTCGGATCATGGCAATAAAGTAGTGTATCAACTTTAAATAGTGTCTGAGTGGCATGGCCTCGCTTGCGGTCGCAGCGGCACGTTTTGCTACGGCTGTGGCGTTTGTCAGCGGCTACACCCTCCGTGGCATCATACATAGCAATATGAGTCGTGTGGATGAGTGTCCATGTCCGTACACGCTATGTCTTGCACAATTCATGCTCCGCGCCGCAATCACACTATTGCACGAGACATATAAGTAGTGTGAAAATGCACTTTCCGCAAACCAAACGCCATTTTCACAAATATGGCGTCGTGGCTCGAGACTCTGCGGTCGCTGACGTCGGACGTCGAGCGCGAGCTCTTCTCCGTGCTTCGGCGCTACGGACGCCCAGAAGACTGCACGCCCGAGCACGTGGTCGTGCCCTGCACGCTTGCGCTGCGCCTGCACCCAAGCGACCCCGAGTTCCCATTCGCGCTCGCCAACGGCCTCGCGATCTGGGTCGCGATTCCGGCCGCGTACCCACACGAGGCCGCGACGTTCCGAGTCCACTGCGACGTCGCCGGCTTTGATGCGCTTTTCTCGGCGCGGATAGCATCGGCGCTCGATGCGGCCATGGCCGACTGCGTCGGCCACCTCGTCCTCCGCAAGCTCCTCACGTGGCTCGACAACCATTTGAAGGAGCTCATCATGCCGCCCAAGCCAGCAGAGGTAGCTGACGACCAAGCAGAAACTCCTATGGATGAGACCGATATCGTCACGGCAGCGACGGAGCACATGAACGCCAAGCCGCGTGTCGCCAATGCCAACGACGCCGCCGAGCACAAGCACGACAAGCACGATGGGGCCATCGAAACGGGTGTCGATGATGAAGCCAAGAGTAGCGACGATGACGCCAAAGACGAAAGCGATGACGGCGACGATGACGAAGCCAAGAGCGATGCCGACGCCAAGGGCACTGGCGACGACGACGAGGTGGACGGTACGCCCATGTGCAAGTTTTTTCTTGCTGGCAAGTGCCGGCGTGGCGACCACTGCAAGTTTGCACACGTCGATGCCACGTCATCGTCGTTGGAGGAGAAGAAGAAGAAGAAGCGCAAGCGCCGCGGTCCATCCAAGGCCATTTGTCGGCAATTTCTCGATGGCAAATGTCGTCGCGGCGCCAAGTGCCGGTACGCGCACCCACCCCTCTCTACCGAAGACGCCGCCGAGGACGAAGGCGAAGACAACGCAGCAAACTCCAACGACGAACAAGTCGAAATGCTGGCTCCATCACCCGAAGACTGGTCGGTCGACCAGCAGCACGCGCTCGACGCCGCGCTCAAGCAATTCCCTGTCGGATGCCTCGACACCAAGCCGCGCTGGGAAGCCATCGCTGCCTGCGTGCCGCACAAGTCGCTCAGCGACTGCGTCAAGCGCTTCAAGTACCTCACCGCGCTCGTCAAAGCCAGTAGTTCGCGCGTCGAGACGCCACCGCCGTCGCAGCGCCCCGCGTCCGACATGGACGAAGACAAGGACGAGGAAGAACTTGCCAAGCACGACGAGACGCGCGACGCCCGCATTGTGCCCGCGCACGCGCGCGTCAAGCTGGATTTGGTGCCTGACGTCTCGGCCTGGCACATTGACCTCGGCGCGCTCTTTCTGTACCAGATCGACACGGCGCAATTGCACGCAATCTCCGGTCGGTTCCAGTGCCTCAACTGCCCGCTTTCATTCCTCGCGACGCTCTCGCTGGACGCGCCGTCGTACAAAAAGTGGTGCCCCCGCTGCAGCCTCCTTCACACTGTCGAGTTTCGGCCGATCCTCGTGCACGGCGCCAACTCGCTCGCGGCCAACATTTCGTCCATCAACTGCGCGCTCGTCGACGTGAGCACGCCGCTCGTGTGTCTAGCGCTCTGCTCCGGCTGCGGCGTCGAAGGTCTCTTGTCGGCGGTGCCCCGTATCCGCGCCGAGGCGTCGTGCCGCGGCTGCCACGCCAAGATGGCGCTCGAGTGCAAGGCCGCGACGATCTGCAAGCCATCGAGCGCACCCGACGTCCCGGTGTTTGACATGGGGAAGAAGACCAAGAAGACCAAGACGCCCAGCGAAAATGTCTTCGTCGTCGGTCAGCCGCTCCCAAACGAAGGCAAGTGCAGTCATTACGGCAAGTCGAAGCGCTGGTTCCGGTTCCAGTGCTGCGGTACTGCGTACGCGTGCGACATTTGCCATAGCGAGTCGACGTGCCACCAAGCGACAGCCGGCGTCTTTGCGAGTCGCTTCATCTGCGGCCTCTGCTCGCGCGAGCACCCGACGTCGCTCAAAGAGTGTCCGTGCGGCAACGCTGTCGGCGCGGCGGCCATCAAGGTCCACTGGGAAGGCGGCAAGGGCTGTCGGTCCCAAGCCACCATGGCAGCCACGGACAAGCACAAGTTCCGCGGTCTCGCCAAAACGCAGAGCCAAAAATGCAAGCGCGTTGGCCTCGAAGGCAAACTCCGCCGCGAACGCAAGCTCGAGAAACAACATGGCGCCTAGTCCTCGAGGAGGCTACGACGTTGAAACAAATGTAAGATACGGCATCTTAATGAACGCAAGCATACTACTATCTATGTCTATCTAACTAGCTATCCATCAATCTATCATCGATCTATCTCGCTCTCTCGGTGGCACACGAGAGCCACTCAGAAGCCACTTCCTGCCCTGGATGCACCATTGCTGTGGTACCTGTGGAATCGTCAGTTGTAAATGGTTGCATCTGCTCATCCTGCGAATTCGACGTCCCCAGTCGACACATTTTTGTGCAAGTACTTTCGCTAGGACGAGCCAACTAAACCTACTTTCAAGTGTGTGGCCATATGTACTCGGTAGTTGTTGTCAGCATCAAAGTCGAGTGCACCCAAAGGAAGTCACCCGCACCCAAAGGAAGTCACCCTGCGTCAGCAGCATACGCGCCAACGGACTCGATTCACGCGGTTAGGACATGGCCGATATGGCTCTATTCTCCAATGCACGCAATGATTTACTTGAAGGGCCACCAGCTGCTGCTACCGCTGGTGGCCTCGGTCGCAGGGTCGACGCTCGGCGGCTCGTCCGAGACGGGGCCGTCGTTTCCGATGTAGCGCGCTTCAAAGTTGCCAATGCCAGGCACAATGCGGCCTTGGCTGTCGGACGCTGCGTCGTACGAAGCTGTGACGAGATTGACGTCCGGGAAGACCTAGCGCCCGTGTGAGCGGCGGCTGTGGGCATACGCGTACGCACCTTGCAGAATTGGTCGGCCGCCGCGGGGCACGTCACAAGCGAAACGACTTGGATGTGGTCGGGCTCGACGCCCTTCTTGAGCAGCAACTAGGGTCGTGGACGAGATTATTCAAAAGCCAATAGACGCTGGACGTACCTTGATGACGGGCTGCACGTTCTCGAACGAGGCAAAGTCCGGGTGCAGCAGCACGACAAAGCTCTCTTCAAGGTCGTCGGGCAGCGATGCCGTTGCAATCGCATTGTCCTGGAGCTTGATTGCACCGATCGTAGAGTCGAACGGAAGCGTCGACGCCAACAGATGCTCAAGGCTACCAGAAAAGCGTGCTTCAGGCGCCCAAAGGTCGAGCGACATGTCTACCGCTCCGTGCACAGCTTGTCGTCGCAAAGCGCGATACCGCAGACCTTGACGTTGTCTTCGTAGTCGACGCCCTTGGCCTTGTACCCGAGGGGCGTCGTGACCACCGCCTACGCAACCTGGCATGAGGATCCCATACACATCGTCGTCGTACGTCTTCATCGTTGGGCAGCTGCGTCAACGCGGCCTCGAGCACGTTGCGAATAAGCTTGTCGGCGCAGTGCATAAACTTGGCGCCTGCGTTGGCATGAGTGCTGCATGAAGACGAGGCAGATGGACGCGTACCCGACGAGGCGTAGTCGCGCAGGTGCGTCATGCCCGTCTGGATTGTCTCGCTCTCGAGGTCGAGCACCTCGACGTTCTTGTGCTACAGCGGCGTGAGCGTGCGGCTGTCGCTGGTGATCGACGTACCTTGGCCTTCCACAGCTCGAGCTTGACGCCACGCCCGAGGACCTCGCTGCCACACACGCATGAACGGCTTCGCCCAAAGCACGCGCTTCGTACCCGCTCTCGTAGACGCGCTCCTTCTGGCATGAGGCCACGGAGAAGGCCATCGTCATGGCCGCGATGGACGCTGCTGCGTGACGAACAAGGTGGCGCTGCATGCTTGCTCTCTTCGGTTCCGATCGCCTTTTTGCATCCAGGTTCGCCTGGACGTTTAACGCCCTGGATTTAGGGCGGAAAGGCCTTGTTTGGTTCCTAAAATCGGACTTAAGGATTGACAAGATATAGTGTTACTCACTGAATACTAGCACAAGACAAGTTTGCATTCTGGTCTCATCCCACAGTATTCAAGATGAGAGCACTGTAATAGTGTATGTTTCAGTCTGTTGACATCTTGAGCCTCACTTGATACAAAAGGAAGCCATCGATTGGGGACTCTCTCTCCGAAATACTAGTACCGTACACTAGACTATGGCGCAAATATATGTATGAACGTGTTTCGTGTTACCGTCGCTTTCCAAAGACTTCGCTTCCGTTGAGACTAGCAAGCTACTTCTTCATTCGTTCATTCGCCCGCTGAGATGCCGCCGTCTCTGGGTGCTGGTGGCCGCGAGTGAGGCCCATGAAGGCACGCTTCGTAAAGGCCTTCGGCTATCCGCGGCAAATCTACGCAGTTTGTTGCGGTCCTCGAGAGACGCCAGTGACTGAGGCGGCGTCAGCGACTGGAGGTCTTTAGCGTGACGAAGAACGGATACTAGTACATGTTTATCACAGCGTGCGTTGGCCTCGTTGACTACTTGCCTCAACGAGCAGGATAGTATTTTGGTCGCAGCTCACATGTACCGGGTAGTTGCGCTGCCTCGAATTTCCTTTGCAAGGCATTGGTG